CTTTACTCACACAATAAGTAACACATTTGAAGAAAATCATCTGCATGAATTTCCTAGAAGACTGATGTACCACATTAGTAAATGTAAATTAGGCTTAAACATAAGCTCGCTCTATGCTGGTACATTATGTTATCATGTTCCTATATTACATTGTCTTGGATGCTTTCCTTCAGGTTTATTTGTAATAGATTGAGAACTTTTATCATATCAAACAATAAAACCAATTTTAAAGGAAAGAATAGTATATAGTTGCCTTGTATAATTTTAATGATTATAAAATAAGCCTTGATATGTATAACAGATACTTTAACTAACTGAAAAGTCACACATTTTTGTTAAATGGGATGCATTAAAAGCCAGAGAAAAAAACTCATTCAAATTACCCATTACATTATGATGCATCTTGACCTTCTTTGGTAATGTAAATCAGTTTTAATGCAAACCAAAATGGTTACCATTAACATTTCAGAGTATATTTTGGTTTCTGTGAAGACCGTTATGGTTACTTTTATAATAAAATTGTTCTCTTCATGATGTGTATCAATATAAACCATGGTTCATTAAGAATATGCTAAGTGCTGGTCTTGATGTGGGAGAAATACTAGATTGAGAAATAAAGCTGGACGATTAACTTGATTAATGTGACAAAACTAACGATCAAAATTAGTGATTTCTCATTATTAGTTTTGATTAATTCAAGGTTGTTCAGCTTATCAATGAAAATATTCCAATTATACAGATTTCATGCAGGGATAATTGATCAGTTAAATGTAATTGATTAATGAGCCTTACAATTAATTGATTACAAAACTCCACTAATCACCCAGCTCTGTTGATTAATAGGTCTTTGAAAGTTTGAACTGGCTTTGAATTTTGTACTTGTAAACACATACAAGCCTTATTTGACATGTGGGCAATTATTCATTATTGAAATTAGAAAGTTACCTATTTGAGACCTGTGTTTCATGCTGTCACTCAGTTTCACTTTGGTACTATTGTAACTTAAAAGTGAAGAATAGAAAGCCAATATCAGTGCCAGGAAAAGGCTGCAAGAAGGAAAGTAATATTTATTGATGTGTTTGTATTCTAATGGTGACTTTTTAAAATGATGTAACTTTAGTAATGTCATTAAAAAAAAGGAATGTATATTAGTAATTAGGTCATGTTTGGCAAGCAAATTGTCAACTTCCATGAGTTGATATTCAAAAACTAAATGGTCCTATAGAGTTTTTGATAGCAGAAGTAATCTAACTTTATTACTAATAATAAGCTGGTGAAATTAATTTTTTGGGGAAATATCATGTGCTGTTTACTTGTATAATATCATATTAGAAAGTTAAAGTGGAACTTTTCAGATGATTTAGTAATATCCAGCTTATAATATCCTTTTTTGGGTGTGTGTTTGATATACAAGCTGAAATGTAAAAAATATTATCATAATAGTAATTACAAATGTTCATGATATTTTGACTTTTTTTTAACTAGAAAAGGTAAAAAATTAATGTACCAACAGAAATTGACAGAACTTCAGATATGACGAAAGGGAGTGCCTGTTTCAATCAAAACATTACCCAGCATCAACTTTTGTCTCATATTGAAGCAACATTTTCTGCTGTTGAGCAGCAGGCTGAAGATGTGTTATTATACGAGCCATCGTCTGAGTACAACACTCTTCCTGGACCACCTCATTCATTTAGAGATAATGAAAAAAATCACCTCCAGCAGGATGAAGATGAAAAACTTAGTTCTACTGAGTTTTGTGCTGTACCTAGTACTTTATCCTTAGAATTACATGATGCTGAATACCATGAAAAATCAAAAGTCAATATACAAGAGCAAGCTGTTAGTGTTAAGCAAACACATAAAGTGCCTCTTACCAATTTTGTAATTAGTTCTTACAAAAAAGAAAGAGAAAATATTTATGGATCCAATCCTAGAGTCAACACAGAATTGTTTCAGCAGTCTGTTTGTGCTTCTCATTTTCGTGATGAAACGGTTAATGATGTTCAAAAACATCCTGATAATATAGGAAAAGAAAATAAAGTAGGAATTCAAGATGAAACTGCAAAACCAAGATGCAAGAAGGAATCAATCAGAAAAGACCCAAACTTAAATGTCCAACAACAAAAAAATCAGGAATTTTTAACCCCTAGATCTCAGTCAGCTGTACATCTTGAAGATGGGTCTGTTCAAGGTTTCAGAAGGCAGATTAAACTTAGGTGTACACAACTTACTGACCTTGAATCTTCGCCTTTGACTGGTAGATCCACTTCCATGCTGAATCTAGTACCACTTCCAGCTGTGCATATTAGAGAACATAGAAATACACATCCTGGTATCTCGGAGACCTTGAGAAGAGTCCAGTCTGAACACAATGTCAATAACACATCTTGTAATTCAGAGTTTTCAGATGAAAATAAAGAACTTCAGGCAAAATATGAACAGCTAAAAGAACAGTTGTTGGGATGGCAGCAGAAGATTGTTCAAAACCAGAAACTTTTACAAAATGGGGAAACTAGCTCAAAAGTTATTGCAAAATCTCTAGAGCAGAATCCTTTTTGGATCAATGACACAAGATCATATGTAAAAGACTCTGCAGAAGTTAAGCTTCAAAAACTTTCAAAAGAAAAATTAGTACATCAGGATGTTGGCTTGATTAAAAAAAGGCAAGTTTTAGCTAAGAGTCAGAAAAGACCCAAATCTCAGATGCTAACAAATGTTACTATTGGCTCATGGCAACAAAGAAACCATCAGGAAGATCCAGGTCGTTCCAAATGTCATAGTGTTGAGAACCTTACTGGTCCACCCTCAGAGCTACAAATGTCCACCATGAATGGAAAATGTATTGACTCATGCTTCACAAATACTCTCAATGTGCCAAAGTCTTCCTTTGAACCTAAAGAAGAGCCAAAGTTAGACATTCAAATGACTAGTCAAGGTGAAAAACCATTATCAAGCTCATTAAAATCTGTCGATATGTCAGGAAAACATAAGCAGACCGAACCAGAAAGTCACTGCAGTAATCGATTATCACTACGTGAGCCGAAAGTTATTAAGGTGAGCAATAACAATTATAAAACAGGAGCAATTCAAACATATTTTGGTGCTCCTGTGGTGAAAGGTTTTTCAAATGAGGTCATACAAAACCTGTTAAAAGAAGCACCTCCTCAGAAAAGTGTTATTCAGACTAACGAAAGTGGAAATTTCAGCCTAGGGTTAAAATCTAACAAGAATGGAACTACAATTTCCAGAACAGACCTGAATATGCAAAAAATGAATCTTCCTGCAAAATCAAATAATCAACAACTTGGCTCAACTAATTGCCATCAAAATATTCCACCACCATCTTCAAACGTCATCACCACTGTTCCTGCTCACACCTTATCATCCAAGTGTAAGCCTAAAGAAAAGAAAAAGACTTCTGACTTTTCTGATATAGATCCAAGAGATAAACTAATGATTGACATCAGGAATTTTCGAGGACGTTCAGCCCTTCGTAAGGTAATAACTTTACTACTTTGTTAGTTTTTTATGAAAATAAACAAAAACATTCATATAGAAGATATGGAGAACAAAGCAAAATATGTTTTGTAGTTGTTCACATAAATGGAGGTCCATATGTATCTGTTCACTTTGAATCTATGTAAGGAAATATTTATATGCTGTGTGTGTAAGGTTTATAAAAATATAAGTATTATTTTACACAAAACTTGTTAAGAATTTAAGAGCCATTTTAAAAACTGCATATTGATATTTTTATGTTTAAAGGTGATAAAGTTTAAAATATTCTAATATATGATATTTGTCATAGAATTATATCAATTCCTCAAAATCAAGCCAATAATCTGATTCAAAATTAATATTTATTGGTGCAGCTTTGGGTAGGTTATTAGTCTGTAGTAATAGAGATAAACTAACAGCATTGTTTCTACTTACAAAAAATTTCAAACATGCAACTTCTAAAATTTTAGCAGTCTATAATAGCACAGTTACTGATCTTTATTAAATTCATTCTACCCTCATATTAGTTACTGTCTATACTGAGATCAATTAAAGATTTTAATTTATAAAAGGAGAAGTAGTTGCATAAATATAATCATATAATTTAATAAATTTATTTATTTATAGAATGAGGTAAAAATAAAATACTTGTTTGTGGGTTGTAAAGAAAAAATGTATTAAAAGTAAAATTGAATTAAACATTTTATTTTCAAAATTATTCATATTTCAGAACAATTCTACTAAAACAATTTTCTTGGATTTAAGCAACACTAGTAACTTCTATAGTATAAATTTTGTGATTACGATGTACAAACTGTATATTTGTTTAAACATCTTTATATTACCACTTGCTTAAAAGATTATTGTGTTTGTATAGGTAACTGTAGCAGAGACCAACTGGCAACTGAAAGCTTCCTAAAGCTTATTCTACCAGTAATCATTTCATCAACCTTTTGAATATAATCCAAGACTTGTTGTTTGTGTACATTACAATAAGCCTGATAACAGGAGAGCTATCATCATAAGATGATTTAAAACACTGAGATATTTTTTTAGTAGGTTGGTACTTTAAGACCAACTACAGTAAACACATTACATTCCTCAGAAATCATGATTAGAACAGTCAAATAAGCCATGGAATATTGTGTGCCAGTCATTAGCTTTAATGTTCTATATTTTTTAACTTTAATAACACTAACTTTTTTAAACAATCTATTAAGCACATTAATTACGATTTTAATTTTGCTAAAGTCCCATCTGCTGTTTTTATTATAAAAAGAGGACCCTAAGTAAAAAAATATTTTCATGACTTAGGTAAGTTCATAACATGTATATCAGAAATAGTTCAGTCAGACCAAATTGTGACCCAGTTAGATGAGAGTGCAATGTGTAATAAGTAGATTAAAAACATAAAAATTGTGTCAACACCTGAATCAAGACATGCTGCTGAAAAGATCTTTGCATATGCACATATTGAAAATGTTGTTTTATTAGATGGCATTCCATAAATCTAACTAAACACTTTATTTATATTTTAAAGGATAAAAAGAGTTTTGTCAATGAAAAAAATGTGCCCTAGTTGAATTTTCCTACTTGCAGTTTTGAAAGTGATTTGAATGTATATCATTTTCTTTCTATTTTTTTACACTTTAGTGGAACATCTATATAGTCCCTCTTTCACAATTAGTAGTGAACGTCTAAGTTAGCCTGAATTTAACATAGAAGTTTGATTTTACAGAAAGTTTGAATCATTTGCAGCTAAACTTATATCTCATTACTTGTAAAGTTATAATTATCAAGGCCTCATTTTTTATGCATCAGAAAACATTATGTGGCAAACAGTTTGAAATTATTCACCATAAAATTGCTGATTAAGCATTATGTAACAAAATTTAAAATTATTCAACCCTTATCAAAAGAAAAACTTCTTATTGCCATAAAATTTAAGCACATTATAAAATGACATAATTAATACACTTTTGCTATCATACAGCTATTTAAAACAGTTTTTATGAAAGACCAACATACACACACTCACTTAGACTGTTAGAAATCTTTTGATAGGCCATTAATCAAACTGTTTGGCCAAAATTCTCCATTTGCCAAGCAACAAGAAACAAACTAAGTCAAAGTTTTATATATATATGGTAACACTGACGTGGAATTGACTTGACTAAGTGTAAAGTTTCAGACTTTGATTATGCAGTCATACAAAAGTAAAAGTTATACAGAAAATGATATGGCTGCAGTATCATGTTAAACTATGGGCCTTGAGTTATATGGAAGAAATTAAAATAAAGATATTATTTCAATACCAAGTATGTCAGAGTGAGGTCACACTAATGAAATTGTAATAACTAACTATTTTGATATTTTTTAAACAAACTTTGTTCAGTGTGAGGTTTAAGTGTTTATGTATATTTTTTTACCAATCTAGTAAGCCATGCTAGCTGTATCTTTTGTTTGATACTATAAAGACCTGATTGCTGTGGCCTAATCTTGTCTATACACTTACTAATCATTCTGCTATGTATTATGCTTATGTTTGAAGTCAAGCATATCTTCCAAGTATAGACAAGTAAAATGTTTATTTATTGGTGTTAGATTATATAATACCACTTCAATGCTACCGATCTGTTTACTGGGAATATGTAGTTTTGTAAACAATACTTTACCATTTAAGTATCAAGTATGGAAAAGTCCATTAACAATTTAGCTTAAGATTACTTTTTTTTTAACCAGTATATTCTTTGTACAGTTTCCAGCATGATTAAAACCCAAATAAAGGTTTTTGTCAAGGTTTCTATGTTTGATTATGTGGGCAATATATTGTTTTTTAGAATTAAGACAAATAAAATTTGTGTATATTTTATTCTAGAATTGTGGTTTTTATTTACTTACAAAAGCATTAGACAATGAATTACATTTAGTATTAACATATAATATCTAATCATAGTATCCAAGTATATACATTTTTAATATTTTTATTGACTTTATAAGATATAAGGAATGAATACTAGAGTGGAAATTATCTTCATCAATTACATATTTCTGTTTTGTTTGTTGAGATTAAAGGTGTGTGCAATTTCATGTTACTGTGTTTATATATATATCCTTAATGGTACACAAACAGTAGTAGATTTCTTTTTTTTTCCTTTGTCCTCAAAATTTTCTGTTAAATGTGATATATTGTAAAATATACCAAATCGGCAGTTTGATACATAAATCCAATGTTGTGCATCAATTTTAATTGCATATCTTAAAGTCTTTTGAGAACTCAAAATTATAGATGTAGATTTTGTGATAAATAAACTTATTGACCTTCAGTACAAAAATGAACAAGTAGTGTTTTATCATTAATGTTAGTGGTAAACGATGTTTTGCTTGTCAAAGAAAAATGTGTGTGAATATATTAGATAGTTTCTTTTATGCCATCTATTGGCATGAACGTTGATAACGAAATAGCAAATCTATCCAATTTACAGACTAAGCCAGGTGTGTATTGTTTGGTTGTTCAGTTACTTTAAGTATAATGGACAATGCTCTTATTAATACACTTCTTTACTCTTATTATTTAGGATACTGTTTAGGGCATTTATATCTTCATGTTGATGCACTGATCTTTTCTTGGTAATGCTATTCACTGTTAGAGGTAGTCATCTAGAAACGTGGTGTGCCTCAGGTTTTGTATCTCTTTCCTATACAAATATCCATCTTCCTCAGAAATAGCAGTAGCATTTTCTCCCACCATAAGTCTACTCATGGCATTATTACACTTTCAAATGGTTGAGAATTAGCTGTAAACTAAATAAATCATATGTATGAGGTTCATTATCCCTCTGTATTCACTTTTATTCAGGGTATTAGAACTTGGGTATTATACTTTATTGCATAGGCTTGTACTTCTATGTTTTACCTTGATGTTGCTTTAGGAAAACTTGGACCCTTTAGGGGGGATGGGAAATATCCTCAATTTTTTCTTGTTTAACTTACCCACTTTTATATTATGCCTTTATAGGATTTGCCCTATTGTATGAAATGTTTTTTCCCTTTTTTTATACATCACATCTTTATATGGCTGAACCATTATTTTGAGTTGGCTGTTTTTGTACATGTAAACTGTTTTAATCATATATAAATATTTTTTGTTTTGAATGTAATTTTTAAAAACACAAAACTTTAATGTAAATTTATCATTCTTTTTACATAAAACTTGGTTTTAGCAAGTTATGGGCTTAGGGCCATAAAGTTGGAGGAACAAATTATATATGGTTTCATCCAAAGTATCATTTGAACCTTAGCTGTCAGCATGGATGCAGCATCTTAGATTACTATACCATTTCCTCATTCAAATATTGCATGTGCCTCTAGGGGATTGTGGAAAATAATTCCCATTAAAATTAACAAAAACATATACGTTGAAAATATTAGTCTATGTTTTGTTTGATGGCAAGTTCTTGCTTGGTACGAGAAACCTTAGCTGTATCTGATTCTATCTTTTTTCAACTCATTGTGCAGCAAGCTTAAGAAGCTCAGTGAATTTTAAGTTTTACATCCAAAAAACATTTTCGGTAAGAATATCAATATGGATCTTCCTAGGACAACAACCAGAAACTGCCTCTTCTTCAGTAGTTCACGGTAGAACTTTCTTGCAAGATCAAAGGACACTTAATGGAAGAAGCCCATCAAGTTTCATATGGTTTTAACAATTGTCAGTAGAATAGAGTATTAGAGTAATTGGTGCTTTAAAACAGTTACTGCTACTTGTGTGATATGCAAATACCACATAACACAATTTCCCATTTAAAATTTTGAAAAAGTTGTAGATATGAATAATATACTGAGAACATGCTAACTGCAATTGAGGTGAAGTATGAAATTCAGCTTGATCCAGTCTCAGAAACTATTTACTTTTTCTTCTAGTAGTTGAATTCTATTTTACCATTATTAATCTCAGATACTTTCAGTCTCTGAATAACATGTAACATACCAAAAAATAAATTAACTGTTATTATTCAGTAGACTAAATGGTTATTTCTTTAATTGTTAATTTCTTTTCTTCCTCAAAACATAAGTTTTAGTGAAGAAAGACATTAGTGGTGAGTAAAGGACTATAAACCTAAAACAAATGAATTGGTTATATTTCATTACTGTATGATGCCAAATTTATTTATTTGTTTTTTTTTCCAAGCAGCACTGAGGATCCATGAATTTAGTGAAAATAAACTGTTACAGTGGGAGTAGCAACTCAAAGAATAGATTAGGCTTCTAACATCATCTTTTCTTCACTGAAATTCATGTTTTAGTGAAGAAAATAAATTAACAAATCAATAAATAACCAGTTAGTCTCATCTTTAACCATATGTTTTCCCTGAATTCATACAACATTTAGAGCCAGTTTAATAAATTTGTTATCATACCTTCATCATAATGTCACACATTTAACTAAACAACGAGGGCACTTAGTTTTAGCTGTTTTAGTATCTTGATGGTAAGTAAAAACTTTTGTACAATATGACTGTTTTTGTTAGGTCACAAACTAAGTATTAGTAGAAAACTGGTTGATAATTTGCTCATATTGTTCCTGAAAGTTGTCCTTTACCTGTTTTCCTTATATAGGAAACTGAATATCTTTAAAACTAATCATGTTTACTAACAGTAAACTGGACTCCTTAACTTTGTTTTCCAATAAAATACTTTCTTCTTAATTCTATAGAACAACATTTCTGGAAAAGCCTCAACCAGTAGCACAGTTTTTGAATAATCTTAACATTTCAATGAATACATACACTTAAATACAGGTGGATCCAACCAATTAGTGTTAAACTAACACACAGTTAAAAAACTTTAATAAACTGTTGGCGTGCTGGATAAACCCTGCTCTAGTATATCACTTCTAAATTACAGATGGCCCGGCAT